ACGGTAGAATGAAATATGTGATCTACCATTTCATATCAAGATAACATGAAACAGTTGTGGGAGAACATTAAGGAACGATTCTCTGTCTCGAATGGCCCAAGAATTCAAAAAATAAAGATGGATTTGGCATAATGTCACCAGACTGGGAGGCCCATTGTAGCGTACTGTTTAAAATTAAAAAGCTTGTGGGATAAACTTATAAATTATCAGCAAGTCCTTTTATGTACATGTGTAGGTTGCACATGTGATGTTAAATGCAGATTGGAGAAAGAACGAAAAGAAGAGAAATCCATTAATTCTTGATGAGCCTAGATGATGTCCTTTATGGTACTGTGCGCTCTAACCTTCTTGCAACTGAACCCTTTCCTAAACTAAATAGAGTTTATGCTACTCTTATGCAGGAAGAAAGAGTGAGAGCCATCTCTAGAGGAAAAGAGGAACGGCCTGAGGTAGTCGAGTTCTCTGCACAAGTACGTGGAAGATCCAAAGGGCTCGCTAAGATGAAGGATAAAAATGTGGTATGTTCAAACAGCAGTCGAATAGGGCATGAATCTAAAAGTTGTTTCCAGCTGGTCGGGTATCCTGAATGGTGGGGAGAATGACCACACGATGAAGAAAAATATGGTGGGTATGGTTGAGGATGACAACGAGGAGGATATGGTTCAGGAAGAGGATGGAATGGGAATGTTTGAGTCAATGCAGCGCACATCAATGGAGAACACAGGTGTTGTGATAAACCTTCCTAACAAGAATGCATTGCCCGTACTAAGCAATGACCAATGGCAAACCTTGGTGAATCTTCTAATTAATCACAAACGCAACGAAAATGAAAAGATTCCAGGTAAAACTTGTGAATAGATCATTGACACAGGTGCTTCCAACCACATGACAGGTAATATAAAACTCTTGCATGAGATGAGGGAGATAACAGGATGCCCGGTTGGACTCCCAGATTGAAAACAAGTGTTAGCCACTAAAGAAGGGTTTGTGGTCCTTGATGGAGGATTTAAAATTGGTAATGTGCTTCATGTGCCAAAATTGAGTTGTAATTTGATATTTATTCTTCAGTTGACTGTTGAGACAAAATTTGTTATTTATTTCAATTATACCTTATGTGTAATGCAGAACCACACTTCAAAGATGCTGATTGGAGCGGGTGAGCAAAGATATTGGTTGTATTTCTTCAAGGGTATTCAATATGAAAAGGCACACAAGGCTAGTAGATTTTGTCATATTAATCTGTGGCATCAATGCATGGGACATCTCTCTCTGAAAATCACCTATTTAACTTCTAATCTAGGGAATAAGAGTAGTGAGTTGGGAAATAAAGCATGTGATGTATGTTTTCGAGCTAAGCAAACTAAAGATGTTTTTCCATTAAGTACTCATAATGTTGTTAGTAGTTTTGATTTTATACACTGATTTATGGGGGCCTTATCGAACTCCCTCTTCTTGTGGCGCATCATATTTTTTTATAATAATGGATGATTTTTCTCGTGCCATATGAATTTATCTATTGATTGATAAAAGATAAGTGTCACACACATTGAAAGTTTTTTTTCTTTGATTGAAAGACAATTTTATAAGAGGGTTAAAATGACACATAGTGATAAATGGAACTGAATTCATATGTTTGAAATATTATTTTCGTGAGCATGGAATAATCTTCCAAACCTCTTGTTCAGGAACACCATAACAAAATGGAAGGGAAGAAAGGAAACACTGACACATCCTTAATATTTCTTGTGCCCTACGGTTTCAAGGTAACCTTCATATCTCTTTTTGGGGAGAGTGTGTCTTAACTGTTGGGTACTTAATTAACTGCACACCTACATCAATGTTACAAGGAAAAACACCATATGAAATGTTGTATGGACAGGCCCCGTCATATGATCATTTTAAGGTTTTTAGTTGCTTGTGTTATGATCACAACTTAGGAAAAACAAGTGATATTTTCTAGTCAAACCCGAAAATGTATTTTTGTTGGATATCCGTGTGGTAAAAATGGGGGTGGAAATTGTTTGATTTAGACACTCGAAGTTACTTTGTATCACGTGATGTTAAATTTTTTTATTCTGAATTTCCTTATGCTGATACAAACGAGAAGGAGACTATTGTCCTTGTGGAACAACCATTATTTTTTATGATGATGGTGAGGCAAACAGTCAAGTTAGGTCAAGTGAATCAAGCAGACAAGCTGGTATAAGTCATAACAAATGGTGGGTGCAGGTGACTCAAAAAGTCGGTTAACTGATGAGCTAATATTGGGTTCCAATAAAGATGAATCTAGAAATTCTCATCTTAACCCGCTAGTTTCAGAATCAATTAACAATGAGATTGGGGAAGAGTTGGGAATAGGTTACCGCATCAAGATGCCTTGAGTTAGATTGAGTGATCATGTGACTCATACTATGCATAAATTAAGCCCATATCACATATCACCCTCTTCGTAACATATCTCAGGTGCACCTTACCGGCTAACTCATTACATAAATTATGCAAATTTTTCTCAAAAAATTGAAGGTTCATTGCTGCTATTACAACTAAACGTGAGCCCGTTCATTTTTCAGAAGTTGTACAAGACAATAAATGGAGATTCCCTATCATCAAAAACTTCAAGCTTTGGAAGAAAATTGCACCTGGATTTTACAACCTTTGTCGGCTGAGAAGAAGCCTCTTGGTTGCAAGTGGTGTAAAAAATTAAATATAACTCAGACGACTCCATTGAAAGATACAAGGAAAGACTGGTCATTCTTGGGAATCGTCAAGTAGAAGAAATTGACTATAGTGAGACATTCACTACTGTTGTCAAAATGGTCATTGTTCGTCTTGTTCTTGTTGTGACAGCCGCAAAGCAGAGGGAAATTCATCAATAAATGTTCACAATGCATTCATCCATGGCGATCTTCATGAAGATCTATACATGAAACTACCTCCAGGCTTTCACACGTCCTCATCGGGATTAGTTTGCAAGTTGTGAAAATCTTTATATGGGTTGAAGCAAGCCCCCCGGTGTTGGTCTTCCAAACTATCCGCTGCTTTGTTGAAATTTGGATTTCAACAATCATGTTCTGATTATTCTCTCTCCAACTTGACGACTCATGGAGTACAACTCGTAGTATTGGTGTATGTTAATGATTTGATTATTTGTGGAAGTGATTCTGAGGCAATGCTACACTTTAACATGTATCTTAGTCATTGTTTTCACATGAAGGATTTGGGGAGTTTGAAATAATTTCTTGGCGTGGAGGTTGCAAGGAACTCAAGTGGGATATTCTTATGTCAACACAAATATGCCTTGGATATAATTAAAGAAACATGTTTACTTGGTGCCAAACCCGTGTCAACACTCCTTAAGAAAAATCATCAGCTTGGTCTCACAACTGGTCCCCTTGACTAACCCGAACGCTATTGACGGTTAGTTGGATGTCTCATCTACTTGTGTTTTACCAGGCCCGAGATATCTTATTGTGTTTACAAATTGTCATAATTCATGTAACAACCTCGTGTGAATCATTGGAATGCAGCACTTCGCATTGTCAAATATCTTAAAGAAAGCCTCAACCAAGGTATACTGCTTAGCAAGACATCTAGCTTCCAGTTGCATGGATGGTGGATTCTAATTGGACAGGTTTCCCCCTAACCCGACGCTCAACTACTGGCTGGTTTGTGTTTTTGGGACACTCACCCATCTCTTAAAAAACTAAGAAACAACACACTATTTCACGTTCCTCGACTGAAGCAGAATATCGCGCTCTGGCTACAACCACTCGTGAACTCAAATAGCTTAAAAGTTTTTGATCTTGGGATTTTGCATAAAGGATCTACGTGACTCAGTTGTGACAACCAGACAGCTTTGCACATTGCCAAAAGTTCAGTTTTTCACGAGCGTATGAAGCATGTCAACTAACTTAACTGTGTTAGTTCATGAGAAGGAGCATATAACATTGGATCAAGAGCAACACACAAGTGAGAGGGACACCACATAATCATCCAAAACCTTAAGGTGATAGGTGTGTGAGTTCTCTCACTTATCATTTTCTAATCAATATGAGACTTCTTCCTCACACTTGATTATCAACACTCCCCCTCAACTATGAGTCTAATACTCTCCCTCAAATAGAAGCTCTTTCTTTCACATAACCTCATATCCACCACCTGTAGGGAGTACTTTCAATACAAGCAAGTCGATCTCTTCACTCGAAATCAAAGACTTGTGATATCATTTGTTAGTTCATGAGGAAGAGCATGTAATATTGGGTCAAGAGCAACGCCCAAGTGAGACAGACACCACATAATACCTAAAACCTTAAGGTGATAGGTGTGTGGGTTCTCTCCCTTATCTTTTTCTAATCAATGTGAAACTTCTTACTCAGACTTAATTCTCAACAAAGTGAACATACATATTATCTTTTTAATATACATAATTTTTCCTTTAAATATAAGAGCTATATTATATGCATCCTTCTATTTATCTTGTTCTAAATTGATCATCAAATTTATTTATTAAAAGTAATATAATTTACTGTGAAAACCAATATTAATAATTAAATTCCAGTCTATTATGAGATATAAAATTCTTTAATAACCTGAAGTTTTGTTGGATCTTTGAACTATGTAAGCAAAATTAACTCAAAATTTAAATTTAAAAATAACATGATATAAAATAATTAAATGATGCATATGTCTCCGGTACACCACGGTATAATTAAGTTGAATAGAAATAGCCAACTTTATTTCTTTCGACTTTATTTATAAAGGTTTTTTTTATCCTATATATGAAGTGCACCGTAGCAGTAGCAGCTATGTTTTTTTCATGAAATTTCGGATTAAAGAAAGAACCTTCCTGGAAAACACCTACTCACAAGGACAAGAGATAATACTTCGTTATAAAATTCCAGATATGTATAAATAGGAAACAACGTTGCAAATGAAATTCACACTTCAAAGCTAACATCTAAAAAAGTTTAGGTGAGTGAAGTGTTGAAAGAGAGAAGAACATGGAGATAGCTGGCAGCTGTGAAACACCACTACCACTTCTCTCACTGAATCATGTCTCTATACTGTGCAGATCTGTGCTGGACTCTATGAGGTTTTATGAGGAAGTTTTGGGTTTTGGTCTCATCAAACGCCCTTCCTCTTTCAAATTCAATGGAGCCTGGTTAGTATGTTGATTCATTACCATTTTATTTATTTATTTATTTGTACGAGTTTTCAATGCATCAATTTTTTGTTTTGTTTTGGTGTAGGTTGTACAACTACGGTTTTGGAATACACCTGCTAGAGAATCCAAACTATGATGCATTTGATAACCCTATGTATGAACCACGACCCATTAATCCCAAGGACAATCACATATCATTCCAGGTAATTAAGATTTGTATTCTAATAGGTTTTAAATCAAAATCTATTTTAAACAAACACTTAATCAAAGTATTTGCAATTTGGTTTTGTATAGTGTACAGATGTTGGACTTGTGAAAATGAGGTTGGAAGAAATGGGGATGAAGTATGTTACAGCTTTGGTAGAAGATGAAGGAATCAAGGTGGAGCAGGTGTTCTTCCATGACCCAGATGGATACATGATAGAACTTTGCAACTGTGAGAATATCCCAATAGTGCCTATTTCTTCTTCTTCGTGCTCTTTCAAGGCAAGAAGCCAGAGCATTAAGAAGGCTCCCAGCAAATGTGGTTTCATGGAAAATGTTATGATGCGAAGCTTGAGCATGGATATGATGAACTTTGCGTTTTAAGTTTCCATATGGTCAAAATAAGGTGGTGAAAATAATTTACTTTTATTTGTCTGTAAGATCAGCAAAGGTTTTTATTATCATCAAAACAGGGAAAAAGGTGCAGAGCGTTGTTAATTTATGTATTCAAATATCCAATACTATGTTGTAGGATGCTTGAAATAATAATAAAATTGTCAAGTAAAATAATAAAAAAAGGCACGCAGAGACATCATATTGAATAAAACAGTATAAATGAAAAGGTATGGGTTGTTTGGGAGATACATTTTCAAAAGTACAAAACCATACTTAATAAGTTATTGGAATCAAACAAAACATCTGTCTAAGTATATAGATCTCTGATCTATTAACTGAGCATATTCAAAACTAATGCAAGGAGAAAGCTTTATTCTTGGTCCTATAAAAGAAGTACATAAATAAATAGAATAACTTGAATAATGAAAACCAGCAACCAGTGTACTAACATTACCAAAACCAACTCCACAGAGACATTCACAATCTGTTGCTCTGCAAACCATAGCCAATGGGAAACATGAAATTACTCGGCCCTGGATTGGCCAGCGCGGGAAGAGAGGATGATGCCAACAATGAGTCCATACAACGCCAGTGCCTCAGCGAAAATGAGGATAAGAATCATTCCAACGAAAAGCTTTGGCTGTTGAGCATTTGCTCTACAAAAGACAGATATCAGGGAGTCAAATTCAACCATATAAAATATTTTTGCAAAACCAGTTCTAACAGATATTATCTGCAACTGAGTACCAAAATCCACAGATGAAATGCAAGAATTACCTAGCACGCCAATACAAACAATCACAACAACACAAAATTATATATACATTCAGCCCAATTTCACATATCTCAACATGTTCAATTTTCACATAACATATCTGAAAATTGACAGCAGATTTGGGTTACCATGTTTACACGATGGAATGCCTGCCGTATGACCACAAGTTCTATTACTTCAACAATTTGGAGCTTCAGTAAATTCATATTGAACTATTGTAGGGACACTAGAAAAAGTGATTGATGGTGTATCCAAACACACACTCCAGCACTTATCATACATACAAGAGTAAATGTATTAATTTTTCCTACAATCAGTATTGTTGTCAATAGCAAATCACTAAAAAAAATAGTGTATTCAAATTCCACTGCATAAGAGTGCTAGAGTCGTATAGCCACTGCTTCTGACAACAGTTGTATTGAACAGAGCAAAACAATAGTGATTTGTTCAAATTCACTACCCTACAGAACCTCTATTTAACAACACTGTACAAAATCTATGAGACAGACACCAAAAATTCGACACTGACACGCCGACACTAGTAATAAATTGAAAAAATGAATAAATTAAATTTAATCACGTGTCATAGTCAATTTCAAACACGACACTGATACAGATAAGCCTTTTTTCAAAAGTGTCGGTGCTATAGACAAGCTTTTTTCAATCGACGAGTAAAAAACTGAAAAGTCCACGTGATTTAGCTCTATATACCCCATTTCTATAAGTGAATTTAAGTAGCTTATGAAGAGAAGCCGAAAATCAGCTTATAAATAAATCAGAAGTTAATTTTATAAACTCTTAAGAAAAACTCATATCAGAAATCTTGCAGCCGCAAAACGTTCCAAATAACAAGAAAACAGACCTTAAATCATTAGTAATTAAATCAATGAAAGAAAATCAACGATTAATTATCATACAAACAATTCGCTAACATCACAATGAAATTAAAGATCAAACAGAAAAGCGAAATGAAAGTAAAATATACCTAACACCGGCATCACCGACGATACCGATGGCCATACCAGCGGAAAGCCCGGCCAAACCACAAGCAAGACCAGAAGAAAGATGCGCGTAACCATCAAACAGATAATAAGATTTCGCCTTAGGATTAATACCAGTACTGATGATAACCGCGATAATCAAACCGTAGATACCTAACACACCGGCCATAACAACCGGAACGATCGATTTCATAACAAGTTCAGGTCTCATCACTCCCATCGATGCAACTCCGACGCCACTCTTCGCCGTACCGTACGCCGCTCCCATACCTGCAAAACGACATCGTTTCGAATCAGCGATTATTATTATTCAATTATTGTGATTGTGGATATGAAAATGAATACTTACAGGAGAAAACGAGAGCCGCGGCGGCGCCGAGGAAGCCGAAGAAGGGAGCAGTTTCGTCGCCACTGAATGGAGCCATTTTGGATCGATCTGTTGTGTTCTGATTCTCGGATCTCTGATCGGTAATTCGTTCTTGCTTTCTCGTCTCTCCTCCTTTGATATTTTGCCTGGTGTATAATGTCAGTCACATCCTTATTGTAAAATAATTCCTGAATAAAATAAATTGATATTTTTTATTATTATTTTGGTCATTTATTATTATTTAAAAGATTAAATAATTTTTAATTTATTATAAATTAAATTTCTTTTTTAAGATCATAGAGTACTTTTGATAAAGAATAGTTAAGATCTATTTTTCTTTTTTGTTTTCACTTTTTTATTAATAAAGATTTTTAAAATAATTTTACACTCAATTATAATCATGTTAAGCGATAAATTAATTATTTTTAAATAAATTATATAACATAATTAAATGATAGATTTTAATTAGATAATAGTGTAAAACTATTTTACACTATCAATACACTATTTTTAACTTCAAAATTAATTGTTATGTAATATCTATATAAAAAGTTTTACACACCTAATTTAAAATTTCATAATTATCATTTTATTGATGGTCGTGTAAAATTTTTTTACATGTGTATTTCAATTAAATTTATATTAAAAACAATAATATACTCAAAATATTACAAATATAAAATTTTCTTTATTAAATATTTATTCTTTATAAAAATCTAAATATAAATGAAAGAAAGGTTTCTTAAAAAAAATCCTAAATATTGAAGTAGATCTATAACTTTTATTTATTATTAATAGAGATTGATTATTCATGTATTATTTATTGTATACTTGATGAGTCAGCAAGGTTGTTAGAGTTAGTTTAGTCTCTAACTGAATTAGTTAGATTAGTTGTAGTTTGTTTTCTGATTAATGCTTGTATAAATAATTCTAACTCATGAATGGAAAGTAAGATGAATTTCATTCTTTTTCTACGTGGATTGAATGATAACTATGCTGCTGTGAGGTCTCAGATTCTTCTGATGGAGCCTTTACCAAATTTATCCAAGATTTTTTCAATGATAATTCAGCATGAGCGACAATTGTCAATTGGTATACTTGCTGAGCCCTCAGCTTTAGCAGTGCAAGCTTCACCATCTAATGGTTCTACAAGTTCCAATGGTTCTGGATATGGCAGGGGGAAGCCATTTTATTCTAAGGGTCAAGCTAAGTCTTCTGGCCAGAGACATTGTACACACTGTGGGAGGAATAATCATACTGTGGATACTTGCTTCATGAAGCATGGTTATCCTCCTGGTTTTCCCAATGGGTATAAGCCTAAGAAAGTCAATCATGTATCTTCTGGGGGTGGTTCTGATGACCAATCTGAGCAGGGTCTTTCCTCTTCATCTATGGAGTTTACAAGGGAGCAATTTCAGAGTCTTCTGGCTCTTCTACCTCAGCATACACCTACTGCTACTCCTCATGCTTCCAATCTTGTGAGCAATCATCAGATTCAAGCATCTGAATTAGGTAAATATGTTTGCAATCTGCTGAACAGCCCTCTTGCTCCCACAAGGGCCTTAGGTAACTTGTTTGTAAGGTGGATCATGGATTGTGGTGCAACTGATCACTTTGCTAGCTCTCTTTATTTGTTCTCTTCTTATAGAGTTATACCTCCAGTATTTGTTAATTTACCAAATGGCCAACATGCTTATGCTCGTCATATAGGAACTATATACTTGACACCTACTTTGACATTGTATAATGTGTTATATGTTCCAGAGTTTTCAGTAAACTTAGTGTCTATTGATAAACTTACCAAGCAACTTCAATGTAATGTGCTCTTCACTCACTCTGCTTGTTATATTCAGGACACAATCACATTGAAGATGATTGGGAAAGCTGAGAATCGCAAGGGACTTTATATCATGGATTTACCACCTCTTCATACTGTTAAGCCTTTGTCTACTTTTCATTCTGTGAATAATGTTGTTTCTGCACCAGTTAGTATGCCTAATATTTGGCATTATAGATTTGGCCATCCCTCTCTCTCTTGTTATCACATTTTACATTCCATGTATCCTACTGTATCTTCCACTGTTAATAAACACTGAAACTTGTCATTTTGCAAAACAAAAGAAATTGCCTTTTACATTGAGTACTACACTTTCAGAAAATGTGTTTGATCTATTGCATGTGGATATATGGGGACCATATAGTGTTCCATCTATTACTGGTGCAAGGTTTTTCTTAACTATTGTTGATGATAAATCCCGTTATACTTGGGTAAAATTTCTTGATACAAAAGCTGCAGCTCGTCCTTCTTTAAAGAGTTTTATTATTTTTGTGAAAACTCAATTTCAGAAATCTGTGAAAATTGTTAGAAGTGATAATGGTGTTGAATTTTCAATGTGTGATTTCTACAATTTGCATGGGATACAGCATCAATTGACTTGTGTGGAAACCCCACAGCAAAATGGGATTGTGGAACGCAAACACCAACACATATTAAATGTGTCTCGTGCTTTGCTTTTCCAATCCAATTTATCTCTTGAGTTTTGGTCATATGCTGTAAGTCATGCAGTATATATCATTAATGTTCTGCCAACAAAAGTTTTGCAAAATGCTTCACCATATCAAATTCTTTTTAACACCAAACCTGATATCTCTTCCTTAAGAGTTTTTGGCTCTCTTTGTTATGCCACTACTTTACTTTCTCATAGAACTAAGTTTAAACCTAGAGCAAGAAAATGCATCTTACTTGGTTTGAAAGAAGGAGTTAAAGGTTTTTTACTCATGGATTTTGGAACAAGACAGGTTTTTTTGTCAAGGCATGTTATTTTTTATGAGAATATGTTTCCTT